GATCTGAAATCAAATTTCCGACATTAATGAAATTCTAAGCTTGCGGCTATAGCTTTCGTTTTCATTAACTACGATACGATATTTAATGCATGAAGAGATATTTTCTTATATCAGAAAGAAATTATTCAAGTATTAATATCAACCATAGTGTAACTTTAAACCACTGTCTAGTGCAGAAACTATAGCTCATTACTTGCGCTATACACAAACTGAGTAACTTTTTTGCTACACCAAACCTGATCAATAAAGTAGTGAATAATTTACGTTCTTAATCAATCATCTCTACTCTGGCTCTCTTTTTAATTGTTCTATCTATCTAGTGTAGAGTTCATTATAAGAAATGCAATAACTAATAATGGACTATGAAGATTACACAACCCCTGTTAAACAATATGTGACCATAACCATAACCATTGATGTTCAGCCAAATATCACATAAATGCAACTTTCATACAGTAGCTAGAATAAGTATATCTCCATATAAGTTAATTTAGGAAGTACCTCTTCAGAAAATTTAATTAAAATGGTTGTCCTCGGTCTCTGTTGTCCATCGACAGGTACAAAATGAGCTGTTACAACAGCTGGAAACCCTGAGTTATCCAAGACTCCCTTCAAAAATGGGGAAAAATAGTATTAGTGCTTCTACTAAATAAATTCTCACTTAATGAGCTATGGTCAATAAAGTATGTACCCTCACAATTCCAGCAACAAATGCACCACAATTAAATGCACCCATATCTTTGGGTACCGAAATAAACCTACAGTATAAACACCAAATCATCAGCACATCACAAAGAATACGAAACAGATTTGGCATGGCAGAGAATGAAACACAATATGAAGGACTTACCTGTTGACAAGAAGTTCCTTCTCACTAATCATGTACTCATCTTCATGCTCAGTGCCTTTCTCGAGAGAGTCAGCCACCTGATGTTAATATAGTGCAAAAATTAGAAATAGAAATCAGCTTGCTCCTAAAATAAATTCAGATGATTAAAATACATAAGAGTGCCAGATTTAGCTTTATGCATGACAGGGCATAATAAATGCAAACAATTAAAGGGAATTTACATCATTATGTGACATGGTCAAGCCAAGAATTGTGGCACATCAATAACTCCTCACCATCTTACGTGTCCTTAATTAATCCAATAAGATCAGCTCTATGTAAATTTCTAGGTGAGTTCCTGTTACTGAATATCATGCCTGGTTCAGAAGATAAGTGGAACGGGTAGCTATACTTTTCTGCAGCAATATGGTAAATTTTGAGGTTTAAATGCATTGCTCAAGAGCAATGCGCCTTCTGTTCATAAATTTAGAGACCAAAAGAATTTCGTATTCGATGCCGACCTAATATCCAACTATTCTAGCAACTACGCAGACTACAAACTCGAACTTGCATTCTGAAACCTAAAAGTGGCTATGAAGTCTGGGATAAGTCAACAAGAACAAATAGCTTGGTCACAACTATATAACTATATAAGCAAGCACCACAATGACTGACCGATAGAAGGCTTCTCAAAATGTAAGGATTTAGAACTGTGACTTCAATATTTACTCTTAACTAGTAAGACCAACGATTTCACAGTAAATGACAATAACAAATCCAGTGACAGTACTGCGTAATGATCATAGTAATAAAGCTTTTTGAGATACAAATGCAGAGCACGTAGCAAGTTAAAATGTTTGTGTATAGGAGCAATCAGATCAGACACCTCTCTTCTTATTAGTATCCTTGAAGTTTACTGTCATACAACATAAAACTTCTGGACATAATTATAACAATGCACAGATTGGGGCCAGACAATAAATATTCTCCATCACATATAATATAAAAATAAATCATTATAAACATGTACCCTAAACGAAATGAAAATCTCGAATAAAAGAAAGAAGTATCAGGAGGTTAAGATGCATCCCAACCTTTCCAAACAACACCTTCCACACTGTGCTGTGTATGAAAGACAAAATACCCAACAGCCTTGTCTCCCTTCTGTTGCCCTAGAATATTTCAATGGGTTATAGAAGGAAATGTAATAATATGCTCCAGGATTCTGATCCAATATTCACAAAAGTTAAAAAGATACTTCGGACCATTTAGAGAAACCAGAATTACATTTCACGTGAGACAATGAAGAAGTTCATCCACATATTCACCATTATGATAGGAAGATTAAAGTCTCAGTTTAATTCCCAGAATTCAAATTGATCAAATAGAACATAAATATACACAATGGAACAAGAAACAGAGTTGTCACAGACACTTGAAAGGGATATTTACTTCTTTCTCGATGAGAAGCAACATGTCACATATTCTAAATATTTCCAAACCTAGATGATTCTTGCACAATTTCGAAACTTCTTTCACTAGGATAAATAAAGAAAATAATTTCAAATACTTGTCAGAAATGCTTAGATACAATCTTGCAATGTCAAAACATAACCATTACTGTCGCCATTTAGAAAGAATCCACATCTGCCACATAAACTAACTTAATCTCAATAAGACAAAATGCAACCTGCATCAAATTATTCATTCGCAAAGACTGCTGGAGAAAGATGAACGTGTTTCCATGCTATTTGTTAAATATATATGGAAAATCAAGAAGCAGACACATAAGTGCAATCAAGAACCATGGCACTATTTATAGACAAATATACAAAAGCTATTTTATCATCTCAAAAGGAACTTGTGACTAATTTCAACCATGAAATTCCCCCACCTTCTCTCTGTGACAAAGAAGTTCCAGAACCCTAGCTCCAACAGCATAGCCAGCATCCTCTAACCTGATCCAAATCCAAAAACTCGTCAAGTTCTCTACGTACTCAAAACTTCAAAGTTTGGGATAATTCGTTCCCTAGAGAAACCTTCAATAGAGAATTCCTACCTAAGCCGTTAAGCGGAAAAGGCTTCCAAAAGGCACTTTAAGAAATCATATTCATCTTGCATTACATACATAATCATTTGACGAAATTACCCATGAAAATCATTCCAAGTCTCCCAACTCATATTCTGCTTAACTTAAGTGGGTAGCAGATTAATGGATTTGTTCCCCCATTTCAAGTAATGCAAAGGTATATACATTATGATATCTAGCCGATTGAAGATCAGTTATCTAACTTCTAGTTAAAGAGTATAAGGTTAACACAATCCGGAATTAGAGAAACTGATTGACCTTCTTTCCAGCTCTGCTATATTGTCGACTTGAGTCTGACTGTACTGAACAAGCTCGGAAAACAAGAACGCAAACGCGCTCAAACTGACCTGAACAAACCCTCATTCATATCAATCATCAGCACCAAAAGCATCCTCAAATACACACCTAAATCTCAAACACCACAACTTGACCGACTCCAAAAACTTTGCAGTAAAAACAACCAATTCACCATCACCAACACAAATGCATCAAAATAGTATTTGAAATCTCATCCACATACACTCGATCAAATCCAGTTTACCTCAATATCAAGGAAAAAAATTGACCTTTAGATATTGGGCACAGGGAAACAGAAAAAACGATGAGTTCAGAAAAAAACAAAAAGGAAAAAGAGAATTGAAGATCTGAAAATGCAAAAACCTCTTGTTTTCCCTTGCCAAGGGGCCTCTCGAGGACATTGGAGTATTGCTTGATTTTCCCGACTCCGATCATCTTGCTCGGCCTTTCACTGCGCGGCGTACTTTTGAGCTCCTACCGTGAGTGCGAGTTGCAGTCGTCTGTAATCTGTATACGAACCCACACCAACTGATTTCTTTTTTCTTTTTCGATTTTTTTTTTCACTTTTGAATT